ATTGCAAACTTTGCATTAGAACCGCAGGATAATTGTAATATTGTCTGTTTCCGAATGTAGCGAACAACGTCAATTTACTTTGGAGTACACGAGAAATAGTAGGCCCGTGTACGACAATAATTTTGGCTTCAAAGTGTTTTTGTTGTCACCTTTTTACAGACAAAACCTTCCTTTGTATTTCATGCAAACTCACGGAATACAACCAAACAAAGAACTTGATTGAGTGCCTTGGATGTCATAGTCTTTACAACATTGCAAATTGCTTTTTTTCGAACTTGTAAAACGTCGTCGACGGGCTTTTTAATAACTTGACTACTCGAAACACGTGGCAAAGGCAATATCCGGCCCCAAGGCTGTATTTGCTACCTTTGGAACTTGTGAATATTGGGAAGTGGAGTTTATGTTGGCGGTTTGCAATTTTTACGAAATGTAACCCGTGAAATCAGTTTTTTCCAAATTTTCAAAGTATCTTGACGTATGTTCGGCTGCAAGATCACCCGGGAGGCAGCAATTCGCAAAAAAAAATATTTTCCTTTCTATTCTATCTAGTAGAAAGTCGTGACGGCAGTCTGTACCTCGGACAGTTTAAGAATTGCGTTGAGATAAGAAGGGAATTGAGGATAGCAGCCAAACATTTGGACATGGAAAAAAACATTTCTTCGGTTGCATCGGTTACAACCAAGGTAACGTATGAAAACACCATGAACGGTACTTCCATAATGACTGAGACGCTCGATCATAGCGCAATAGACCGATGAGAGAATGCACATATCAGTTTTTGCAAAGAGGTTGCGCTCCTGAAGAATTCAAGCATTCCGTACAGACATCTTCGCAGGCAAAACTAATGTATGTCCATAAAAATGGCCCATATCATTTCTGTTCCCAATTTCCTATAGCACTACAAAGCTCGCAATGACAAGCATTTAAATTCGGTCACTGCAATATTCGCGTAATACATCAGAAGCTCCAAATAATAGGCAATAAATACCTGGGTCATGGGCCCAACCTCAGCCTCTCACCGTCCTCAGAACACATCGTTCCTCTGCAGCCATGCCACCTATGAAGAATCACGAGGGCCCAGGTTGTCCAAGTCTAGACAGGACAAGTCGAGAATCAGTGGCGAGGTTCGAACAACAGAACGTTTGTTCCGTAAACGCTTGCTCTATCCACCGAGATAAACATAAATATTATATTTAGTGCCATCATTGGTCCATAATTTCCAGGAGCCGGTTGCTTAGTCTATCAGCGCGTGTTGCACTGATGATCCACAAAAAAATATAAGCATTGCAAGCACACTTTAATCAGCACTTTAAATGCACTGCTGATAATGAAAAACTATATTCCACTAATGCATTCACGCAGATGCATATGTTTTCGGAGTTGTTAACCGTCTCCTTGATGTGGAAATATTGCAATGGATATTACTACGACTGCGTCGGTCAGGGTTTATTCAAGTTACCATTCAATGGGGATAGATTATTGCCTTATTAACCATCGGCGTTGCATATACTTTGCTCAGCAGTTGTGGTATTTATTGTCGCCGAAGATATTCTTTATCCTGCTTGCAGCCAAAAAAGCCGCCCACTGATCAATCCATTTTATAGCATCTGGTGATGCACGTCTCCACGGTACACCGTAAAATATTCTCTTTATCATTTGTAAAATTCCCTTCTCATTTTTTCTGTGTTTTTACCGGCGTTTTTGTACACTGTACGCTTTATGGACGCATAAAATAACACCATTCTAGGTACAATTTGGAACGGCGCATGTCTGGTGCGGCATTTAACGGGGAACAACTTCGGGCCCACAAGATTTTAGGTAAACAAATTTGCTGTTCGATTTTTTGAACCGTGTGAAATTATAGGCTCATGGCTTCTAAAAAAGCGTTTTGGCAATAAAGAAAAATGTATCAGTGCCAGAAGGCTTTTGGCGCATTCTCCGCGAATATTTGCGTACTATAAAAATGCGCATACTTTAGAACGTGGTGGTGCAGGCTATCCCAAAGAAGATCGCTGATATGCAGGAGACTGCATGCTGGCACTTCGGATGGATGTGATCAACATAAAAAATCTTTCAGTATATTTACACAATACGGCTTTTCAATAACCAGGGGACTCTTCGTAGTTCCTTGACCGTCGTTCCTTGGAAGCACACTGCTAAACGCTGTCGAAATCTGCCAAGTGAAACTTGCTGTTTACTTCTCGCTAAAAAACTGCGCTCAATGTCAAGTGTTCAACTACCATGAGCACCAAGAACGCATCGAATCAATAATCCAACGACTAAGAGTCGGGAAACCCTTTGGAGTGATTTCCGAAAAATAATTCTGATTGCTTACAGCTGACCAAATATTGTGGATTACTATTTGCAGCACTAAATTTAGTAACTACCATCTCACTGTATCCTAACTCGGTGCGATGTATCATATATTCGGTCGAATGAAGACTACATTTTACGGCAAGCTTCCTGCACTCAAATACGTCGCTTTCCAGCCAGTAACAAAACATATGTTGGTGAATCAGGCCGCCGCCAATAATTGCTGGTAAGGTCCAAAGTGAGCTCGGGGGCGCTCAAATGCACATCGTTTAGCTGGGGGATTTTAAGTGAAAGCTTTCCAGATATCTTGAAACGGCTGCCATCCAATGTGCTTTGTCGAATCGTAATGAAGCAAGCAGGATTTTTCGTACAATTATCTTTACCTGCACATATGTGAAGTGAATAAGAGGCGTTCTTTTGTACGGCTGTGAAAAGACTTACATTTATATATGGTTAGTACTTCGCGAGGAAACTTTATTCCAGATTACTTGTTCATTTTCTCTCTAATAGTTAAAATTTGTGTTGCACGCTTTCGAACTGAGAGAAACCAAACTAATTGGGCTATGCGATATTTATGTTTGCAATTTCATGCTATCTTTATGAAATTTCAAATACAATTCACAGTGAAACATTTGCAGGGAAACCAATCATGTTTTTCAAGCAAATCGTCGGTTTCAAAAATACTGAAAAGGACAAAATTGGTTGAGGAGTTATCACCATCTTTTATTATGGTATATAGATTGACAACCCTAGTTTGTTTCATCCAACACACAGGCTTGTTACTTCGTGGATAAAACAGTAGCAGTGGCGTAGAAAAAGCGGAAAGCCGTGGAACCGTACTATGGCGAGTTCACTGTATGAAACATGCAGTGCCGATTTCTGCTAGTCCGTGTCGCTTCGACTGTCAAAGTAAACAATCAAAAGGTGTATGACGAACGCACGTTCAACATTGCGACTTGAGTACGTCAAAAGCACTATCTTGAAAGTCTGTCGAAATTTCACATATACCAACCGATCAAAGTTGATCAGAACTCCCTATGCGTCAATTGTGTAGGCTGCAACGTTGGTACCAAGATCCGGGGGAAGCTAATCCAAGTGCCATACAGACGAGCTCCAATGAGTCCAATTTTCTTAAAATCTGTGATCAACTGAAGTACCAGGGACCTCTGTCGAACATTTCAAAAGTAATTTATGGTAGAGGATTTAGAGAAAAACGCAACTAAGCGAAATTCTCGTGCTTTCCACACTACTTTGGTTTTCCGAGAGAATCACGTGGAACCCCACTGATTCTCTACTTTGTGATGTTCCCGGGAAACCCGAAGGGCTGCATCAGGCCATCTCATGGTAAAGCAACCTAATGAGTAGCGCATTACGAATATACATGTATCGCGATATCTGGAATATCGTAGCGACTGAAGTATGAGGCGGCCTTGTGCTGCCCATTCGGTGGCCTGGAAACACCACATCGGCAATTTACCTGGGTTCCAGGTTAAACTTTCAAATTTCAACAATTTCGTGCAATTGGGGTCCAAGTGGAACGTTTATTTGACAGAAACTTGGAGACTACACGTACGTGGTGAGCCCCGAGAACTGTGAAACCGGTCATGTGCTTTGGACAAATTTTCAACTAACTTATGAGCAGTGCATTGCGAAAACGCAACTTACTTACCTAAGAGAAGATGGATCGGCAAAATTCTAGAGATGAAACAGTCAAGAGGTGGACGTGAGCACTTTACTAGCTGTGTTTGATCCGTCCAAGTTGACCTATTATAATCAGTGTAAAATATCTTTCTTCCCTTCTTTAGTAACTGGTGAAATAGCAAAAGAATATTAAGTATCAGTGCAGCCTGTGGCTTAAAATGGGCTTAGAATGCCTGCACTGAGACCCATCTGATCAAATCACATTCAACCTACGGATGCGGGAGCGACTGCAAAGAACAATTAGTTTTGCAAATATATTTCGCTTTCACACCCGAAAAAAAAACAGTATAATCCCCTCTAAAATTTTAGTACCATTTAGGCATGACACAACAAACACTGCGTTGGCTGTCTGCTATAATTTGACGTAAAATAACCGATGGGATGTAGCCAGAGCACCTGATGTGCATTTTAGGCTGATAGTGAGGTTCCGGAAGTAGCACTCTCCAGTACCACATATGCCTTCGGACAACAATCTGATTTTTCAAAGTTGTGGAATCACATTCAATGTCAATTTTGGTGATTCTTTCTAGCGCGCCCAAAGCCATGAAAATCAGCCCACAAGCGATTATTCCCATGTTGTTTGATAAAGTAGGACCAGAATCTCGGATGATTAATGGCTGTCCTATATCAAAAATAAAACTGAGTGGCTCATAAGTAGATCCCTTTCCTAAGTAGCCTGGTCAGAACGCATATTTCACAGGACAGAAACTTGAGGAACAATCATCCCGTAAACAGTTTAGGCTAAACCTTGGCGAGTAACGGCTGTGCAGTTTAACAATCACCGTTCTCTGAAAACAGTGAGAAAACAGAGAACTGTGCGATTTGTATGAACCTTAAACAACACAATAACCCCCACTATGCTTGCGAATATCCTCCGGGGCCCAACGTGATTTTTTAAGATAAAAAAGTGATCTTGATGGTTCGACATTTGTTAGTTGTGGACGCATCAACTGAGTCGACATCCTCAGTCATTGAGTGGGTCCCAGAAATTTGTGTTTTGTAAATGTAGTCCACTCTCTTAGGTTTTGTTCCCGAATAAACAACCTCAACGTTTCCAAGGAGGCCAATTCAGACACCTTCTTCTAAGTGGCTGTTATCGGTTTTATTCTGCTAATGTGCGGGACATCTAACAAACGCCAATCCAATATGGTAGTGAATCAGTAAGTTTGAAAATGCTGTTGACATTGTCCCATGAAATTTCGCTAAGCGCAACTCACCTATACAGTCCTGTTCCTCACCACAGTTTGCTGAAGTTAGGGAAAGTTTTGTGGAATCATTCGCGCTCAACGTTAAAGAGGTCATCACAAAAGCAATTGATATTATGTGACCTAAATCTATTAGGCAACCTCTTGACTATCAGTAATATTTTTTCCCTGATCAGCATTCAAGTTGCATCAGTTATTAGCGGGTCGCGACGTTTGACGTTGTCCGTTATCGAACCCTTTCAATGCCTAACTTCCAAGCCACCCGAAGGTTGCACAATGGCTTGGATACTGCCCGGTTTCTCAAGCCTAGACAGGAAAAGTCTTCAGGCGGTGGTCGGTCAAACCACTCGGTCAGTAAATTGGCGTTCTATCAACTCGGGCTAGCTCACCTTGAGGTTGCTCACCGCACTATTGAAGTTCCTATTGTTTGAACTCACCAATACAACGATTTCGAGCTTCCTGCAGGCACCTTCCTATTAACCGTGGTTTCGAAAACAAAAGCAATTTTGTAACATAATAAGGAAAATCAAGAATTTTACACTGCTTCAAAGTATATCTAATCACCCATGCATCTGCATTTTAAAGACGTATATAGCATAAACGCGTGTTTCTTTCTTAGACCTTGCTTTTATTGAGTATTTACTCATTTCCGAACTGACCACAAGTATCATTTATGGTTATTCCAGGCTTTCG